CCACGGCGATAAAAACTATTAAAATAACTCAACAAGTCTATTTTCACTGCAGCCGCATACCTCACATCTACTAGAAGCATCAATATTAACCCACTAAAATGACAAATATATCTAGAAATGTAAATATAATTCATTTTACTCACCAAAACTCGTCACTTTTTCTTCCTTGCTTTCCTTAGCAGCGATTCAAACCGTCCGTTGTGAAGGCAGCACGTTTCACTTCCAACATTAAGTCCTTTTCCATCGTCATGGAAGCTAATGCTAAAAGTCTGTCCAGTCTTAGTCCTGCCATAAGTTTTAATTCGCTTTAAGGCTGAGAATGTCCGCTTGCCTAAGTTTAAAAACAGCTATTAATACTTCTGCGATAACGTTTTAGCTTCTGCAGGTCGCTACAGACAGGAACCGCTAGCTTTGGTTAGCTAAAGCTATCTGACCATCCAATCAGAGGGCGTGAAAATGCCGGCGTCATCGCTCACCTGCTAGATGGCCCTGAGATCAACAAGTCGAAATCTGATTGGTTAAAGTAACGAGGCATTTTGGCGCCTGCGCTTTTGAGTCTGAAGGCCTCAGGGCAGATTTCTTTGACCCTGGCAACACATGATGACCATCAATATGATTGGATAAAGGCTCGATTATAAATATACACTACCGGAAGCAGAGACACGCTATGAAATGAAGAGAACAGACTATTGGGAATAATGGAAAAATATTAATGGGAAAATATTTGAAGGAAAATATTTGAATTAATATACTTAATAATTCTATTTAATAATTTGACAAATTCTGATTTTAAAAAAAGGAAAATATTAGTCCAACATGATATATTTTGTGCTGGTATTACTACATTAAATATAATTTTACAATGAAACTTGATGAAAGAATAAATCACCATTTTATTTTTTAATTATTATTATTTTTATGTGGCCATTATGTACAGTTTTGCCTGTTTTTAAGGTTGACTAGCAAAAAAAAAAAAAAAAAAAACTTTTTCTGGGATTTTGCTAGTTAGTATTACCTAATTTAACAAAACTGGGGAAATCTGTAAAAGAAGGAAATTACAATTAAAAACTGTCAAAAAAAAAAAAAAAAAACGAAAGAAAGAAAGCAAGCATATTCCTTCCTGACTGTGTCTGTCTCTGCGACAGGTGAAAAACCTGGAGAACGAGAAGAAGAGGCTGGACACGCAGCTGAAGATCCTGAAGGAGCAGGAGGACTACAAGGGGAAGGTGGACGAGGTGGTGAAGCAGCTTGAGAACGAGCTGGAGCAGCAGATCGAGAACCTGCTGAATGATCAGGAGAAGCTGAAGGCCGAGCTGCTGAAGAACCAGGAGGAGGTGGAGGACACCAAGGACAGGTCAGCAGGCCACAGTGCAGAAACATTTGCTCTCCGAGGTTTTCTTTCACTGTTTTTGTTGTTGTTTGCTTGTTTTCCAATTTTTAAATGTTACAGTATCCACAGTTATTTTTTTCTGCCAGATTTTGACCCTTTTTTTGACAGAATCTTTTATTTTACATCATATGACACAAATGAATTCCTTTAATTTGCTGTTTGTTTCAGGTTTGAGAAGGAGATGAACAAAAAAGCTGAGTTGGAAAATGAGTTTGTCATCACCAAGAAGGTACTGTTGGCTGCTTTTTTATTCATTTAGAAACACAGTAAAAACTCTCTTTAAATTGGCAAATTCCTCAGGATTCAAATCATTTAGTGCATCACATTTAATACACGTTCATTTGTAGATGACAGAAGAGCTTTGGGAATATTTTGGAAGCAAACTCATGCATGTGTGTGTGTTTAATGTGTGCAACAGGACGTGGACGAAGGTCACCTGGAGGCTGTGGATCTGGCTCTGGAGCTGGAGGACCAGATGGGAAAGCTGGACTTCCTGAGAGTCGGCTATGACGAGGTAAACACACATAAACACGAGTTCAGCTCGACAGAAGGAGGATGAAAATAAAAACGATTCTAACTGTTGTCTGGCCCCTGCAGGAGATCAAGGAGCTGGAGTCGCAGGTCCAGAACGAGACGGTCCTGTTACGTGACAACAGCAAGCGTTCTCTGGACATGAACGAGATCATCGAGAACGTCAAGGCTCAGTACGCCAACATGGCCGCCCGCGGCAGGGAGGAGGCCGAGCAGTGGAACCAGAAAAAGGTGAGGAAAAGATCAAAGCTCCTTCAGTGATGACTTCAACATTAAACTGGGAAGGAGAATTATTATTATTAAACCATGTTGTGTGAAGGAAATTTTACATTATTATTGTTTTTTTTAACAATGTAGTAATAGATGCTACAGATTGTAATATGATTCGGTCGTCCCCTCTAGATGGACTCGTTGGTCCTCAATGCAGGACAGCGTGAGCAGGAGGTTCGTGACGTGAAGAGGGACATCTCTGACCTGCTGCGCCTCATCCAGAGACTCACCGGAGACCTGGACACTCTCAAAAGGAAGGTCAGGATCACACAACGCTGAAGAGTTCACACATGTGCAGCCCAGATGATCTTCATCTCTGCTTCTCCCGTTAGGAAGAGGCCCTCAAGAACGAAATCGACAACGTTAGACAAGATGGCGACGAGCACATAGCGAAGGCTCGGAAGCAGATCGTTCAGCTGGAGGAGGCCTTGAAGCGGGCCAAGCAGGACTTGGCCGGACAGATCCGCGAGCACCAAGAGCTGTTGAACCTGAAGCTGGCCCTGGACATCGAGATCGCCACCTACCACAAGCTGCTGGAGGGCGAGGAGCAGAGGTAAGGGATTGCATTGCATCAATATGCACAAGATTTAAAAAAGAATGAATGTATAAATGCTGACACTAACAACTGTTTCTGCTTCATCCCTGAAGAATGAACGAACTTATGCGCAACGGAGGTGAGGAACATTTTATTACCACATCTGGAACCCTTAGAAAATTCTACCCACATGGCTTCTCCCAGTTATACAGCTGCATGTTTGCAGGTGTATTTTTCTGTAGTTCACAAATTCTGGATGATTTAAGCTTCATGCAGCTCATGAAGAGAAAAACAGGAACGATCCAAATCAGTGGTTCCCAGTTTGTTTGGCTTGTGATCCGTCATCACGTCCACTTGTGCCTAGTTTAGTAAAGAAATCTTTTTCTCAAGTGTTTTATGTGAATCATTTTTAGAGATGAAATATGAGGTTTTTCACAACAAAAAAGCAGAAGTGTTTTGTTTGTTTTTTTTAAAAATTTTTGCTAAATTTAGTTTAAAAAAAACAACAAAAAACAGAAGAGGCTGTTTGGCTGAACTGCGGGAAGTGTTTACACAGAACATTTTTCATTTCTTTCCAGTACTGGTAACACCTGTGGTTTTACATGTTGACTCAGTGTTTCCTCAACTTTGGTTAAAACACATTTTCATACAAATTCAACTTTTTTTCTTTTTAATGATTTGTGGAATTATAATAAATACATTTTAGAGTCCTGAGTCATTGTTGTTCTGTTCCCATGGAGGTGCAGGACTTCATATTGCAGTGAAAAATGAGCCAACAGTGAAGAAAAATATGACAGAAGTGAAAAAACAATATCCTGTCCCAACCCCTTGTCGCTATGTTTCGAGCCCTTGCGGGGGCTTTAAGCCTTAAAATGGAAAACACAGATTTAAAATAAAGTATTTTTACAATTTCTACACCAATTTAGCCAGTTAATGTGCAAATGGACATAAACTAATGGTGATTTTATTATTCTGACGTGTTTCCTTGCTTCCGTCACTCGTGGCATCTTAGTTCCTCCCAATGAGGATTTTCAGGATCTCCAGAAACCTCCTTGAGGTGCATTTAAAGGATTGGAAGATCCTCCTATGATGGCAGACGAGGAACGATTTCGTGTCGTGAATTCTCTTTCTGCAGATTCATGGAGGATCTTCCAAACCCTTAAATGCACCTCAAGGAAATGAGGAGGCTTCTGTAGGATCTTAGAGGGAGGAAACACAGATGTATCCTTCCTCTTACGTTCTCTCTCGGATAAGCAAAGATGTAAGGAAGTGATGCGAGTAAGGGAAGCAAGAAGACGTTCACATAATGAAAAGCGTCCTAAAAGTTAGAGTTTTGTTGGAAAGAATTGTGGGAAACATAGAGAAGGTGGAGAGGTACACATACCAAAAGTCTGTCAATTATTTAATTCTCATAGATGCACACTTAAAAACTGATACAAATCCATTTCACACGTACCAGCATTCTCATGCTTCATCCATGTTTTGTGTCCCACTAAAATCAAACCTCTCTTTCGCTCAGATTTCTAAAAAACAAACCAACCAATCCAAGTCCTTGCTTGCACGCAGACGCTCACCTGCTGAACAAGCAACGCCTGACGGAGAAGCCACAGGAATCCATCCCCGTCCCCACGGCAACCACCGACATCCCGGCAACCACCATCATCCCACCAGAGTGCCCCGCCTCCAAGAAGCGCCTGCTGATCCGGGTGGAGGTGGAAGCAGGCAGAGTCGTGTCCGAAAGCTCCCATTACACAGACTGATCCGTCACGCCTCTGCAGCATTACAGTATGTCCGTAAAATGTGAATTAAAAAAACCTCCAAATTTATATTTAATTAAGTTAAATTAAACTATTTCAGTTGCACACAAAAATCATCCCTTTTGTTTTTCTGCTTTCTGGTGGAGCTTCATGGCAGGTTGAGCGTTTTCCTAGAATCAGTGCTTGGATTTGTAGAAGTTTGTTTATGTCCATCGGTGCTTTTGAAAAGGTTTTCCTATCTTTGTTTACATTTGTAAAGACTTCCAGTACATTTTCAAAATCCTTCTTGCAGTTTTTTTTTCTCTCTGACCTTAATAGGAATAGGGCTTTGTCTTTGTAGAACAGGAAATCACCAGTCTAACCCTTCAACGTTTTCCTCAACGGGTTTGTGGTTAAAGGTGGGTTGTTCTGTTGGTCCACATCTTGAATCGAATATCAGGAAGGATGTACACAAAGATGAAGTCTCCTACAGTCACAAAAGTCACATTAAGGATAGGTTTTAATGTTCTGGAAAGAAAAACACGAGTCTGCAAAGGGAAATGTTTGTTTGCAAGCCTTAAATTTCCTGAACTTTGGAGTTGTTCTCTTTCTTAGGTGTTTCTGAACCCTTGAACCAAGTATGTCAAAGTAATCACAACAAATCAGATTACATTACAGATTTTACTGTTACTGGAGCACAATAAATAAATAAAGCAACATGACCAATATGTCTGCTCGCTTTCTTCCACACAAACATACACATGTACAATCATTTCTTGCATCGTTTGACATTTTACAAATTTGCTTTCTTGCAGAAGGTTGGATGAGAAAATTGATTGCAGTGCAGCTAGGGGAATTGTTAGCGTAGCTTAGCATAAAGACCGGAGAGAGATGGAGAAACAGCTCACCTAGTTCAGTCTACTCATTAATGGGCAATTCCAGTTCATTTCGACCATGTTAAATCAATTACATACACTGCTGTCTCACTTCTATCTGTGGACAAGTTGTTGTGGTGTTCATATGTGCAAATAAACACGTAATACATCATTATCAGCTGGTACCACTCACAATGTGTAGCCTAAAAAACAACAGCTACTGGAGGGGTCCATGTTGGTTGTACTGGAACACAATCAACTCGTCATTTTCAGTTCCAACTTTCAATTTTCCAGCTAAATGGATCCCAGCTGTATGAGTCACGCTAACCTTATAACATCCACCGATATTATAATGCTTTGGAAAAACAAGGAGTGGCACAAAACAGTGAATAACAGGGCGACTATGGCGAGCTCCCTCCAGCTTTATAAAAAAAAAAAAAGCTGTTACATGAAACATTTTAAAAGTCTGGCTGAAAACAAACAGAGATTAGCCGCCTGGAACGGCCATTTTGTTAAGTGCAATGAGGTTTGCCATCTGGGGCAACTTGCCGGCTGACTTAATCACAATGCATAGTTGTCCATGCACGCCATTCAAAATGATTGACGTAAAAGTCTTATCTTTTTGAAAGTTGCTGGGAGCTTGGTCTGAACAACTGTGGTGGAGTGGTCAAAATTAGCTTGACCCATGGAGCTACAACAGCCAAAATTGTTAGCAAGATGGCCGGTTGAAATAAACCAGGATTAAAATGGCATGCTGTAAAGGAAACGTAAAAAATAGATTTAGACATTTCATGAAGGTTTGGCAACTCTTTTAGGCAAAAAAGAATTATTATGATAAGCTAACATGCTAGCATGCTAGCTGTTTCCCTCATCAAGTTAAGCTAAACTAAGCTAGCCAGAAGTCTGAGTTTGGAATCACTTCACAAACTTGTGCTGAAAGGATTTAATTTTAGTTAAAGTCAGACAACTAAGACAGACACCTCATGAACAAACTTTTTTTTCAGGTTAGTCATTGTTAGCTATTGCTAACAGAGTTGATAACAACGCCCTAAGCGCCATTTTGTGCATACAAACATTGTAGCAGCATGTCCACAGATAGAAGTTGGACAGTACTGTCTTTGCAGATAATTTAATGAGACACAAATGAGATAAAAGTGCGAACAAACAAGATGTGACAGCAGCTTTCACTACTTTTCATACACTGAGCAGCCATTTTGGATTTCAAGGTTGGCGTTTTGGAGGTTTTTCCAACTTTCTGAGTCACAAGTCTGACTTCCAGCTGACATTTTTCAACTGTGAACTCAGCAATCACAACTTTTCAGTTCAAAATGAAAGCAAGAATATGTAAATATAAGTGAAAACATAAGAAAAACGTGTACTAGCTGGAGTGTTGAGCCGCTGCTTGTAAGAATTTGGACACTATTGGGGCACATTGTGTTTGATAAAAAAAAATGCTGGAGGCGTTCAGTTGATGCAGACAGCAGTACGTCAATGCCAGATTAGCTGGAGCCTGACCGTCTCATCCTGTTCCCAGCTCCTCCTCCTCCTCCTCATCTCCTCGTTGCCCCCAATCTTCTTGACACACACGATGTGGAAAACGTACTGGAACATGTCTTTGCACGGCAACGCAGGTGTCTCCTGAGCTTAAGATGACATAAGAGCTCGACAAATGTCCCAACAGTTCAGACGCCGCTTGCTCTTTAATTCGATTAAAGTCTGCTTTTCCTCCTCAGCTCGGCGGTCTCCTTTTTCCGCCCACATGCTGCACGTAGGCATTTAAAATCACATCTTGATTGCTGGTTTTAGCAGAACAGTCTATGTTTAATTAGGCCTTAAATAGAGAGCTGGATGGATCTTGAATGAATACAGATAGTTCTCTGCTGCACAAGATCAATTTTACAGCGTTTATTGTCCCTCTATGTAACCCTAGTAGAAACTGGAGGCTCATAACTTCATAACAGCATTTTCAGCTTTCAAACATGATTTTCGCCTCGTGTCTCTCTGCTGTTGGACTAATCTCCTCCAGACTCGTTGATGTATGATGGACTGCGGATGCATCCCTCTTCCCTCTTCTGCTTGCATACCAGTATATAGATAAACACTGACAGAGCAGTTGGAGTAAACACTGCAACCAGGGGGGCGAGAGATGGAGAAGCTCTAGAACTGGTTTAATTTAATGTCCAGATGAAGCAGCGCCGCAGCGTTTAACACGGATACAGGGGCAGTTTATTGACCCTCTGTTTAATCTGATGATATCATTGAGCGCATTTACATTTCAGCTAAATACAACAACATGATCACACGAACACATTAGCAAGCTGACAGGCTCAAAGTGACGCTGTGCTGACTTCAAGGTTGCTATGAAGACTGTAGACTCGTCCCCATTTGGACTGGATTGACTTGTCTTGATTTCAATATTATATAATTATTAGTCATTTACCCTGTTCAAATACGCCACTCAATTAAGTCTCCTGATACAGTAATACTGCCACCAATTGTGAAAATGTTATGGTAAATCTGCAATAATGTGTATTTCTGAACTTTCTGGATTCTCCACTGCAGGATCTCGTGGACTGCCTGAAGCTTTGTACAAGAACTGCCCCTGTAGGACCTCCTCCAGGGCAGTTTTTGGGGAGAAACTTCATAGGTGGCCCTGAAAAACTGCTGCGTGGGGATCAGTTGAATCTCTTGAATAGCAGTTTTCTTACCACCTTGCAACTGTCCCGAGTTCCTGCAAGCAGAAAGCTGCCTTTTCGGTGGCTTTTGTTGCAGAACATTGATAAATAAGTGACCACAGAGTCAATGCAAATGGGTTTTTGTCTGTTGTAAAGCAGTATGCCTTCTGGGTGGCCATTAGCAACATCAATTTGAGATTCATGAGTGCTTTTTCGTAAGTGCTTCAGTGAAAAAACCGATGGGACTTTTTTGGTTCTTGAAGATGTTTCATCCCTCATCCGATAAGCTCCACTGATGTGGAGTCCCAGCTCTTTATTCTCATCCTAAAACACATGACTCATGTCAGCTGCCAGGTGAGGGATGACTCAAGGTGACTGAAACTGTCCAGGGACAGATCTCAAGACTTTAGAGATGCCTGTTCTAGAACACGCATCTCTAAACAGACGAGGGGTTGACAACACTTACCAGGCACTCATCATGCAGTCTTGAGATCCCTCCTCAGGCAGTTTCACCACCATCAACACCTTGAGTCATCCCTCTCCATGCCAGCTTCACAACAATTTACACCTCAAGCCATGGTAGTCCTGAGTTGTGCCTTGGGGGTAATAATATACCTGGTTCTCCCTATCAGTCAGTCAGGATGAGAGATGAAACACTGTTCAAGAACCAGTAAGACAGTTTCCTTCGACTGACTCTCTTAGGAACACCACGGCTTTGACGGACAAATCAGTGTTCCATCAGACTTCCGCCTCGTCTGATCCCCGTGTGCTTCGCCTCCATCTGTCTCTGAGTTTCTGGAGAACTTTGTATGCAGGTTCTGTGTACTGTTTGTTGGCCAGGCCGAGCACCAGCGGCACCACAGCCATGCTGCCGATACCGGTGCAGGACAGCACAATGTGAGTGGTGGAGCTCCACTTGGTGTCGCTGATCAGCACTGCGATGCAGACGTGCATGTAAATGAGGTAGGGAACCCAGCAGGCGAGGAAAGTCAGCGACACCGCCACCACGCAGCGAGTGTACCGCAGGTTCAGCCTCTGCTCCCGGTCTGAGGCCTGACTTCCTCGCTCCACCGAACGATGGAGGCGGCAGATGTCCTTCAGCTGGCCTCGGGTGATCCACAAGACGCGTCCGGTCATGCCAGCGATGGTGAGGATGGCAGGCAAGACTAGTCCATACACCTCCAAGTAGATGAACGCGTTGGGGAACACCCGTCTGTAGGAGCAGCAGGCGGTTCCGTTTGTCGAACAGTTTGAATGTGCTGCAAACTCCTGGCTACCTGCGCAGCAGTCGTTCCAATCTGGCCCCGTCCAGTTATTCCACCCAAAAGCAGGAAGAGATGCGTACAGAAGTGGTGGTGCCCACACCACGAGCAACGCCAACGGAAAACTGCGATGCATCCACAAGTTATTGTAATGCAGGGGGTCGACGATGCATATGTAGCGTTCATAGTGGACCATCACCAGGTTGAAGAGGAACGCCAAGAAGAGGAAGTTTGGGAACACGTGAGCCACCAGACAGGCGCTGAAACTTAACTCCCGGTTCAGACCCATCAACGGAATAAAAGGCAGCGCCACGCCCGTACACATGTCCGCCACTAACAGGCTCAGGAAGAAGTAGTTGGGAGTGTTGTGGAGCTGGCGGTTCCAGGAGATGCCCAAGATGATGACGAGGTTGGCCAAGATGATGGAAGCTGACAGTGGCACCGTGATGACGTAGATGAGGTGCTCTCTGGAGAGCAGAGCGTGGGAGTCGTTGTAGTCCATCACAGGTGAAATCTGCAGACCGACTCCCAGTTAAAGCTCGTCTCCAGTCCCATTAAGGTACAGCTGCCCTGTAGGGAAGGAGAGACAACGGTAAAGTAGCAGCAGAGGCAACCA